ACATGCAACACCCGCTGAGTGCCATGAAACAGCTTGAAAGATCAAAGACAATTTTTAATATACCTCCAACTGGATTCGTCTGAAAGAAGAAAGTCATATACACCTAGGATGACTTGAGGGTGAGTAATTTATGGGCTAATTTCCATTTTTGGGTGAACTAACCCTTTAATAACCATTCTTTTTCTAATAACGATGGTCTGTGTTTGCAGCCAGCCCACCTAAAGTACAGCCGCGCTACGACCTGGATCTGGACGCCAGCTACGCCAAGGTAAAAAACTACTTCCTGTAGAAGTAAAAATCAGAGCTGCTGCTTTTAGAGTCTCTTAATCTGAGTTTGGTCAGAAATATAGATGATTTATGGGATGTTTCGATTGCTGTTGGTCGTGTTTCTGCTCAGACATTCGCAGGTGACGTTGGATATCTGTGGAAGACATCCGATTCTTTGCTTCTGTACCAGGAGCTGGTGAGGAAAGGTGTCCGAGGCCTGATGTGAGTTCATGAATCACACGAAACGAAGCGACTCGCGCTGATGAATCAAACTGAATTGATTCACTATTGCCTTCTATAGAGCTGCTTTACAACAGAAATGACAACAGAAAAACAGAAACTTGTTTCACAATTGAAATGAAACTGGATTGAATCAAAATTAACTGAATTGATCTGAATGAATCAACACTGAACTGAATCATTCTGGATAATGACTCTGAGCTGTTTTACAGCTGCAAAAAAATGTTGTTTCATAATTGATCAATTTTGCAACATTGACACTGATATTGAACTGAACTGATCACTATAGTCTTCTGTAGAGCTGCTTTACAGCTGAAATTGAACTTGTTTCATAGTTGAAAATGAGCTGTTATTCAAGTGAACTGAAAATTAAACTGAATTGAGCTGAACAATATTGTCTTCTTTGGAGCTGCTTTACATTGAATTTGTTTCATAATTGATGAATTTTGCATCATTAACACTTATTGAATCGAACTGATTAAACATTGAACTGAATCATTGAATCACTGAACTGAATCAAAATTGATCTGAATAATTGACACTGTTGTCTTCTGTAGAGCTGCTTTACAGCTGAAACTGAATTCCTTTTATAATTGATGTATTTTTCAACATTAACACTGTTACTGAACTGAAACGATTGAACATTGAACTGAATCATTCTGAAGAATGACTCTATTGTCTTCTGTAGCTTTTTTGCCACATTATCACTGTTATTTTCTGTTTATTTGTGTGAAGCTGCTGTGAATCATTCTGTAAGCGGCGCTATATGAACATTGTGTTTCAGCGAGCTGATCAGAGACGAGTACAGTGAGACGGCGCACAAGAAGACGGAGGTGATTCACATGTGTAACTACTGCAGCCAAACCTCCTGTTGGCGGAGTACGATGAGATCCGGGACATGAGGAAGAAGGTGATGCGGGTGAGATGCTGATGATTCTCAAAGTCTAATGAAAGTTCAGAGCTCTTCATGAAAGCGTGTTCATTTTTTAATTTAGGCTTAGTCTTATTCCTTTTTAGTTATCATATTTAGTCAAATTGTCCTGTTTTTGTTCAGTCAAGTTTTAGTCCACTAAATGACTGAGCATTTTAGTGTAGTTTTAGTCGATGAAAACTTTTTCACATTTTCGTCATGCTGTATAATGGTTAAACTGATAAAAAAAAATACATTTTACAATTAGAAATTAATTTCTACTGGTTAATAAAGTGTACCGGTATATCGCCCACCCCTATATCCGTTTAACGGAGAAGCTCTGATTTGGGGAGTTGAACTCTTCAGATCTGGCAACCGCAAACATGAAAGCTCACGTAGTAGAGGGGTGTTTTTCGGCAAAAATAAAAAGAGATAAAAATTACATTTTAGTCACGTATTTTATCGTCAACGATATTGCATGTTGATATAGTCACAGTTATCTTTTATTGACCTTATTATCGTCTTAGTCATGGGAAAAAAGCTTATCAACAAACATCTTTCGTAAAGTTCGTTGACGAAATTAACACTAGTGTTCATCACTCTGTGTGCAGCTCTCCAGCTCTCTGGGCTCCATGGAGCAGACGCTTCAGGACATCAGCAGCATGTTCCTGTCGGGAGGAAGTCTGACCGACACGTGGACACAGCAAGTGGGAACGCACCCTGAAGACAGGAAGTGAGCGTTTCTGCTTCAACATTCATCACACTGGAGAACCAAACGTCTCGTTTCCTCAAAACAAACAGGGCAAAGCGCTGTTTGTAACACTGCAAAAAAATCAATTGCTGCGTCCCAATTCGCATACTATCCATCCTAAATAGTACTCGAAAATAGAATTAGTATGTCCCAAATCATAGTATGTTTAAAAAAAGTATGCCTATGGTCTACTACTTCCGGTTAGAATTGTAAGTGCAGATCGACGCACACTCTAACGGCTAATATTGCCCACAACACATTGCGTGGTGGACGAGGATTCAATTAGAACTACAAACACGCATTAAAAGTGTTAAAAAACTACAAACATGGCGGATATACGCGACCAACGGACAGGTAGATAAACGGATTTGAGTGATAAATAATCAATGTCTAACTTGATGGAAAAAATATAAATGTAATGTTATCCACGTTATATTTCATCTGCGGCAACACTGTGAACTTTTATAATGATACTTTTGGTCATTAACTTTTAAATGCATCATTATGCAAACACATGAGCAGAGTTCTCGGCAGATCAACGTACCTCTTAATTTCTCTCCAATACGGTAGGAAATCAAATTAAACGAAATGTGGATGATGTTAACTGTGATAAGATGATTGACAGGGCAGTGACAGAATGCACGTAACTAAGCAACAGAGCGTCTGTTAAAGACGCAGTTATGACGAAGTAGTATGTCCCAAAGCTTGCCTACTATTCTTCTACATACTCAAAAGTGTGTACTTTTTCTTCACAAAAAGAGTACATACTTTTAGGGCATAGTATAAGTAGGCGAATTGGGACGTAGCAATGTTCTTCCTCATTGCATGTGTCTTGTTTCCCAGTACAAATATCTAAACTTCCTTAAATCAAAATGACATATTAAGGTTTGTTTTCTGAAAAATATATAAAAAAATTAAGCTTAAAACAAGGACAAGTATCTGCCAATGGGGTCAGAAAAATAATCTTGTCCTCCCTTTGAATTAAGCTTATTATTTCTGACTCCATTAGCAGATATTTGTCCTTGTTTTAAGCTAAATTTTGATCAATTTTTTCAGAAAACAACACTTAATATCTTTAGTCATTGATGGCTTTTCCAGTAAATGTATCTTGATTTAAGAATGTTTATATATTTGTACTGGAAAACAAGACCAAAAAAAATCTGTGTTATTTTAGTATCATTGAGATATTATTATAGTTTTTATTAATATTTTGATATTTTCTGATTTTATGTTCATTTTAAAGTTTTGTTAATTTTGTTGTGCGTTTTTGACTTTTAGTTTTCGTTGCTTTTAAATAGATCTCTGTAAATTAAATAAAAATGAGACGTTGCCATGGAAACTGATTTTATTTTATTTTATTTAAGCTAACATTTATTTGGTATCATGTAATGAAATTTTTTTTTTTAATGGCTTCAGTTTTAGTTTTTGTTAACTATAATAACCCTGACAGAAATACAGAGGAAGAACATTTGCAGTGAACACATTTTAAGCCTGAACTTGAGTATCTGATTGCTGATTGTGTTTCTGTGGCTCTCGTCTAGTGTGGAGAAGATCAAGGTTCTGCTGGACGCCATCAGCAGCATCTACCAGCAGTTCAAGAAGGACAAGGCCGAGAGACGTGAGTCTGAGACCTCATGAGATCTCATCAGCGCTCCTTTGCATTTCATGTGTTTGACGTGTCTTGTCTCCTCAGGTTTGCCTTATAATGAAGAACAAATCCACAAGTTTGACAAGTGAGTATCGTGTGTGTTTTGCTGTAGCTGAAGAACTGAACACGTGTGACGCAGCGTCATGATGACACGAATCTCTCTGCTTTCTGCAGGCAAAAGCTGGTTCTTCACGCCACCAAAGCGCGGGCGCGGTAAATAACTTTTTTAAAGTCCACACAAACAGTCGATAATTTTAACGATAACTATATTAGCATCCACACAAACGGACGATAACTTTAACGATAACTATATTAGCATCCACACAAATGGACGATAACTTTAACTATATTAGCATCCACACAAACGGACGAAGGAGTGGATGAAGTAAGAGGCTCTCGTTCAGCAGTCTAGAACTCACTGAAGCTCACGTGTGATCCAAACAGTCCAACTAGAAATTATTAGTATAGTTATATTATATATAACTGAATTATATATTATATTAGCATCCACACAAACGGACGATAACTTTAACGTTAACTATATTAGCATCCACACAAATGGACGATAACTTTAACTATATTAGCATCCACACAAACGGACGATAACTTTAACGATAATTATATTTGGTAATTAACTTTTTTAAAGTTCACACAAATGGACGATAACTTTAACGATAACTATATTAGCATCCACACAAATGGACGATAATTTTAACACACAAACGGACGATAACTTTAACATTAACTATATTAGTATCCACACAAACGGACGATAACTTTAACAATAACTATATTAGCATCCACAAAAATGGACGATAACTTTAATGTTAACTATATTAGCATCCACACAAACGGACGATAACTTTAACGATAATTATATTTGCATCCACACAAATGGACGATAACTTTAACGTTAACTATATTCGGTAAATAACTTTTTTAACGTCTACACAAACAGACGATAACTTTAACGATAACTGTATTAGCATCCACACAAACGGACGATAACTTTAACAATAACTATATTAGCATCCACACAAACGGACGATAACTTTAACGTTAACTATATTAGGTAAATAACTTTTTTAAAGTCCACACAAACGGACGATAACTTTAACGATAACTATATTAGCATCCACACAAATGGACGATAATTTTAACGTTAACTATATTTGGCAAATAACTTTTTTAAAGTCCACACAAACAGACGATAATTTTAACGATAACTATATTAGCATCCACACAAACGGACGATAACTTTAACGTTAACTATATTAGGTAAATAACTTTTTTAAAGTGCACACAAACGGACAATAACTTTAACGATAACTATATTAGCATCCACACAAACGGTCGTTAACTATATTCAGTAATTAACTTTTTTAACGTCCACACAAATGCATGATAGCTTAAACGTTAACTATATTAACATCCACACAAATGGATGATAACTATAACATTAACAATTTTAGCGTCCACACAAACAGACGATAACTATAACGTTCCTCTATGTCATTATAGTTGTGGTGTGGACTCGCTACTCTTACAGAATTAGAACGATTATTAAAACTTTAACATTATAGTTATTGTCATTAGTGTGAACGGCCTTTACAGTGATTTTACGGTGGGTAAGTAACTGTAGTAAAATCCCTGTCACATGACCTCTCGTATACCGCTGCTTCTGCTGTGTTGCCATGGAAACTGAATCCGAGATGTTCGCTGGAGATCTGATGGACACATGTAGTGACTGATGAATGAACGTCTACTTACAGGAAGTTCCATCACGTGCGGAAGCACCTCCTGTCTCTGACCGGTCAGTTCAGCAGCATGGAACAGGAAGTGACCCTGCTCGTGCAGCGCGTGTATAAAGTGAGTAAACAGGAAGTGCTGTGCGTTTAGCCGCGCTGTAACGGCACACAGACGCTAACGGCTCTCATGTGTGCAGCTGCTGGAGCAGTTACCGCAGAAGATTGTGCCCATGACGTCTGGAGGAATCAAACCGCAGGCGTACCTCAGTCCCAACACACTGGTGGAGATGACGCTGGGGTGAGAGATGACCACAAGTCCGGATGTCAATTTAACACTTTAATTTGGTGTGATTAATTGAGGAAAAAAATAATGATTAATGCATTTAATGCAGCCTCTCTGTCAGTGAAGCAGTTGCTGATGAACACGATGCAGGACGACGACTGACTGAAATGAGGGCAAAAAATGCCCTTCTTATATTTATATCATATTATATAGTTTAGCAATATCACATCAGCAAGATTGCCGTTTTTCCCCAGTATCTGCACCATTGCACATGTGATATTGATTTGACACAACAGTTCAGTAAACAAAAATTAATATTGTGTTACATTTTAGACACAATAGAGTGCATTAGTGCTGCCCCCCTTTTTCAGCGCCGTTGGCTCCGGACGATTTTTTTTTCCATTCATTTTCAGAAATTCCGAGAATCACAACATTACAAACTTTTATTTTAAGCAAAAAAAGTATTTGAAAATCGGACAAAAAGACAAAGGTGCAAGACTGTGAACTTAATAGCTTTGTTTAAGAAAAGAACTACAATCCCATGAAGCATTGCGAATGATATAATCGAATTAAATACGATGGAGAAATAGAAAACTATCCATTTAAAGCTGTTAATTGTGTATATAGAAACAATATATAGTTTAAGTTTATTGCAAAAATGCGGTAACACTTTACAATAATGTATTTACTCACATGAACAAAAAATGAACAATACATTTATTACAGTATTTATTAATCTTTGTTAATGTTAGTTAATGAAAATACAGTCACTCATTGTTAGTTCGTGTTAGTTCACAGTGCATTAACTAATGTTAACAAGCACAACTTTTTATTTTAATAATGCAGCATTAGTAAATGTTGGAATGAACATTAACTAAGATTAATAAAAGCTGTAGAAGCATTCATGTAAACTAATGATAACTAATGAACCTTACCAAATATGCATATATATTCAAATATTTTGAGAGCTTGGGAGACCGACTCGATTACGCTCCGCGCTCGTTTGGCGCGATTTGTTCGCTGCGACTCTCTGATTGGTGGAATTTTCTGTAAAGCATGATGGGTAGTGTAGTTTTTACCAAGGATCCTGCTGTTAAACACGATTATTTGAAACATAAGTTCGAAGGGATGGCTTCAACAAAAGCATAAACCGTTGATTAACATCCTCGGAGCTCACAGTAGAGCTGTTTTTTATTGGTTTATAAGTTAAAATCAATTTCCCTGTGGAGAAAATGAATGGCTTTTTACTTCCGGAGCCGACTGTTGTGCTCACAAAGTGGTGTTTTGTTGCTGTATGAATCCGCGGAGTGAACTTCTTAAAGACAGTCACTTGCTTTATTTCTGAACGAATCAGCCGTTTGAATGAATCGTTTGAATTAATGACTCAATGACTCGCTTGCTGCCACTACTGGCGCTTTTATTTTCATATTTAGAGTATACGTTCATTGTTTTTTTTTATTAATTTGCTATTTCAACATTCTTTTTTTTTAAACAATACCCATTTTTATTATTATCATTATTTATGCAATGTGTTCGATCTGAATATTTCTTTCTAAAGCTACTTTTTGTGTAATATCTATTCAATGCTTTTCTCGTTTAACACTATAATGACTTTAAATTATTTTTTGCGGGGTTATTTCTCAGTCAAAATTGATGTGTGATTAATTCACAATTAAGTAGATTAATTAACCATCATGTAATTATTTTAATCACTTGACAGCCCTATTTATTTCATTTTAGAAATTAGCATAGGGTCGTAAACAAGCAGAGCCTATGATAATCAGGTGTGTGTGTGATCTACTGAAAACAGGTGCAGAATGGGTTAAGTTATGCAGTGAAAAATTCAAATACATTGTCATAAACACATCATTCTGCCTAACAGGATGAAGAAGCTGAAGGAGGAGATGGAAGGAGTCGTGAAGGAGCTGGCGGAGAACAACCTGTTCCTGGAGAGGTGAACATGTACATTCACAGTGCTTTATACAATACAGATCGTTTCTAAGCAGCTTTGCAGTAATAAACAGGAAAATTACAGTGTGAATGTTACAAAATTCATCAAGAAACAAATTCAGTTTCAGGAGAGTCATTATTCCGATCAATTCAGTTCAATAACGGCATTAATTAGGGGTGTCGTAATATTAAAAATGAAGTATTATTGTGTTAATTAGGGGCATCGCAATATCTCACAATAACCATGAACCATAAAATTAAAAGTACACTGTGCTAAACTCCCACTCCCTTTCTTGGCCACTACAGAGGATGCGTTAAAGCTAAGGACTTTATGTGAGGTAATGGTCTAACAAAATCCAAATTTTGGACATTTTACGTCAGCCAAGTCATTAATATGGCTATGCGATTTTAAAGTGTAATTTGAAAAGCCTGATGCAGTAAAAGCAGTTTAAAATTAGTCCATAAACTCTAGTACGAAGCCCAAATTTGAGCTTTAAAGCACAGCGTTGTGAATTGAATTCAACAGTATTAATATGTGCAAAGTTCAAGAGTCAACACTGGCATGGTAAATTGCTCAAAAGTAGTACATTTTAGAAGCTATTTACACTAAGTGACAACAAAAGTATTTTCTGAGAGATATATACTGTTTACACTAAGTGAAAATAGTGATAGATTCAATTGACACTGTGTAAAAGTAGCAGTATTTAGAGAGAATGAACACACTATTGCGACAGTATATGCTTAATCTGTGTACCATCTTGGGTATTTTTTATAAGGATTGTGCATTTTTATAATGCAATGCTAATCGACATACAGAATACTGTAAATTAATATAATTTGTGCCTCGTTCTGTGATAACACGGATTTGGACGCTGTACTCTAGGCAGTGATGTGAGAACGGAAACTTTTCGAAGCTTTGAATCATTTGAATCAATTGCGTCGCAAAATGACTCACTGTTTCGAAGCGCTTGAGTAAAACTCTTGCGGGTCAAAGACATTAAGATGTCCGCATCAAAAGAAATTTACAAAAGTGATTTTATGTCCATAGAAAGAACATTGAATGTAAGTAAAGTGTCTACTTTTAAGGATTCAAATACGTTTTTGGAGGATAAAATGTTACAATTTGGTTGAAATAATGTTACATTGTCATTCAGTGTAACACAACATTTACGTAAAAATTCAAACAACATGCTTATTCTGACCTGTACATATTAAAATATTACATTGTCATTCAGTGTAACACAATATTTATGTAAAAATTCAAACATGCTTATTCCGATGTGTACATATTAAAATATATAAAAGAATAAGGGAGCATATTAAATTTGATTGTGTTTTAAATGATTACAAAATTCTTACTGACAAATGGGCAAAGCCTAGGATAGTGGCACATTTTAAAAATGTAAAATTACAACTAATTAGTATTTGGGGTGAAAGTAATTAGTCATAAATTGATTTTTGTTGTAAATATGCGTGACAGGATTGTTACACTGAATGACATTTTAGTGGGTCTCTTCTGTAAATCAGGGAAAAATGTATGATGTTTATTTTTTGCTCAGAAAAACAAAATTGCAATTGCATTAAACAGAAATTTTTTAATTTTTTGGGGGGGAAAATAACAACAATTTAAAGCAGTATTATTGTTTTTATGCTTAAACCCTTTTTTGTCTTTGACCCATGCATAAAAAACAGCTTTCAAGACCCTGAAAGTATTAAATGCAATTAACAAATCATCAAATAACATTAAATATGAAGTGTCTGTATAATGTGTTCTTTTATGCTTGTTTTATGGAGGCCTTGTCTAAACAGGCCAATAAGTCCATCCAGGTTTTCGCAATTCCACGATCGTTGAATCCAATGCAAAATAAACAAAATGCCCAATTTCACCGCAAAAATCAAGGTCTCACAAAAAACTGAATTATAATTATCTAACTGAATTATCCTTATGAAAGTGGTAATGCATAAGGATACAGATGCTGCGCACGTGATGTCATTTTGATCGTAAAAATCACACACGAAAATCCTGGAAGGACTGGTAAATAAAGCAATAAGCCTCGTGAAGCCGTGGTTTACAGTGAATTTATAACAGCTAAGGGGCGTTGTTCGCGGAGTGCCTAAAACCCATTAGCTGTTATAAATTCACTGTAAACCACGGCTTCACGAGGTTTATTGCTTTTATAAAACGGTTATTCCATATACGTAGTAAGGTTTCACAAAATAAAACGGAGCAAATAAAGTGTAAAGATATTAATAAAAACAGTATTCTTCCACCAAACAATGTAGCTCCTCAGAAACAGTTGTGGTTGCTACAAAGTGGTTGCCGAGCAACACACAAACGTAAACAAAGGTGTATGTTACTTTGTAGAGTAATTTACAACAGCTTCGAACGCGGCTCAGCCAATCAGAATCAAGGACCGGAACTCCCCGTTTTATAATGTTCCTTTTGTATGCAGTTTTTAGGTCAAAATAAAGTTGAATTTGGCTGATAGCATTTTTTTTTTTTCACAATTTCTGTAGATATCGCAGTATACTGTTATCGTAAATTCTTTTGGCCGTGATAATCGTGTAGTGAAAGTCTGATATTGTGACAGCCCCAGTATTAATGATGCAGAACCCATCAGTAACGGAGCTGTAATGACAGTGGCGTCTGTGTTTCAGGTTCGGGACGCTGACGGTGGACGTGGATCGGATGTGACGCGCTCGCCTCTCTCGGATCATCACAGCACAAATCACAAACTCTGTTAGTTGTACATATGAATAGAATGTAAATACACGTCTTAAACCTTACGTCACGCCATTATTTTAATCCTGCGTTAATTCTCTGGATGTGAACATTGGGCTCTTAAGCCCAAATAAGTGATTTTATTTCTGTTCTCGTCATGAAAGTGAAGTACATCCATCATTAGATCCGTAAGCATGTGTGCGGTTCGGAAACGCTCCTGCTCGTGTGTGGGTGAACGTTACTGAACGACCTTCAGTGTGAATGAAAGCGCTTGCACTATTTATAGACATTAATGTTTGTTTCTGTAAATGAGTAAAAGAACCGCTGAGTTCTGATAAAACCATTGTGTTTCTTATTTCTCACAGCTTCACCTTCCTTCACGCCACATCTGTACCCACAATGCTTTGCTTCTGCTCACAGACATCTTCATATAGTTCCGTGTGACCAAACAGACCGTATGATTGACCGCTCATGATGCCACACACGACCGGTTTAGCTGATTATATCACATGTACAGCTTATTCATGACACGCAGCTGCTCTAAAACCACCACAAACTCTTGACGCTTGGGGTCAAAGGTCAGCTGTTTCAAGAGTCTTTACAGAGCATCTGAAAATGTGGTTTTAGAAACCATCGTCCACCGCAGCGGTCAGTCGCCATGACAACAGACACAGAAGCAGACCTCTGCTAAGATGCTGTTGCCAAGGCAACACACTCAATAGCTTCAGCGTGACAAACATCCACTCATATAAGGACACTAACGGATGTGTAAAACGTGACGCTCATTAACATATTCACGAAGGTCAGAAGGGATAAATAGACTGAACATCAGTTCATCTACAGTCACCAACCACCAAAGATCCTCTTATAGTAAACACACTGCTCTACATTGAGGAGCAGACGGTGAAAACGCCTAATAAACACGTTATGTAATGATATACTATATGTAGCATAAAGGACAAGATAATTAATTAAACATTACTACATTAAACATTAACTAAACGTATACTAATATAATATGCAGAAATGTTTGTGTAGATGATAGAATATCACTGGCTCAATATTAAAACAATGAGCAGCCAATTGTTCCCACGAGAAAAATAGCTAATAAACATGCTAAATAATGTACTAATGAAATTGTGATGAATGATAGTAAGAGTCTCCTGCTACAGCAATCAATCAAATAGACACAAAGAGTTGAATGAGAGAGAACTTAAAGGAAGACAAGTAACCTGGATTGATCATTTATAATAATAATATACGAATTCGTGTTTTTTATTACATATTTTTTGCAGTTACTCATCGTGTTTCTGTGCTATTATAGTAGAAACGACGATCTAATTAAATAATTTACAGTAATAGTGAAACCTATATATATATATAAACTAAACAATTACATTTGCACAATTACATCTGTAGAAAGCACATACTATGTGGTCAAAATGACCCTAAAATGCAAAATAATATGCCTAATCAGGGATAGTAAAGATCCATTTCCAATGCATAAACATAAAATAACATTTGAAGTTTGTGAAAATGAAAATGTTAAATACAGTTAGAAAATGTTAAAAAATATTTGTTAAATCAAGTTTTATTTATTTGTTATGTTCTCATATTTATTGTTTGGAATTTGTCATGTGTTTTTGTAAAGTCATAATTTTGTTAGGCCTATATTGCTGTTTTAATCCGTTTGCTATTTGCAGTAGTTAATATTTAGCCTACTATTTTTCATTGTGTGATTTTGTATAAAAATTAGGTTCAGTTTGATCCTCAAGCATCATTCTCATTATTAATTATAATATATGTAACCTACAACAAGTAAAAAACAAAAACATACAACAACGTTTTTTAATTCGTAGATAATCACAAGTGATATTTCAATTATATAATATTATACCATTAATATCATATCATAATATAATATAATATGTAAATGTTTGCGTGATGATTAGTACTTTAGAGCAGTGTTTCCCAACCGGGGTGCCGTGTAAAAAATAATTTTTTCATATTTTTAAATTGCTAAAATGTTCAAAAAAGCATCTATTATATAATATCCAATTCTGATGTCGCTCACGTATGTTATGCTCACGTGTTCTGATAATAATAGCTTTCTAGGACTAAACATTATTTGGATAATTGGTAAAAAAAAAAAAAATCTGATATAGAGGATGGAAAATATAATTGGCTCAGTAATGAGTGCGCGCGTCCGCGGTACTGATGAGAGTGCGCGAGAGTGCGCGCGTCCGCGGTACTGATGAGAGTGCGCGCGTCCGCGGGACTGATGAGAGTGCGCGCGTCCGCGGTACTGATGATAGTGCGCGCGTCCGCGGTACTGATGAGAGTGCGCGCGTCCGCGGGACTGATGAGAGTGCGCGCGTCCGCGGGACTGATGAGAGTGCGCGAGAGTGCGCGCGTCCGCGGGACTGATTGTCTCGGGTAACCAGGCGTCCAGTGTGACTGATTTGTTACTCTGATGAAATATAAAGAAACACGTTGATGATGATGATGATGAAGAGGAAATAAGCGGTCCGAGGAGAAGAAGAAGCGCCTTCATGTCAGGAGCAAAAACTGAGGTGCGTTTCCATCTGATGAAAACAACACGACAGACAGGAGAATGAGATCTAGACATACTGACGCGTTTTATTGATGCTCGACATCCACTGGCCTAGAAGATCCGAACATCTCACAGGAGATGCTTATTTCATATACGGCCACGCGTTATCCGTCATAAATGAGTTCTGAGCTGATATTTAGTTGATATGATCGTCACAGGCTCTCAGATGTTGATATAAACTTGCGTTTTCTTCAGCGAATCTCGAATGAATCATGAATCGTTTGGGTTTGTTTTGAATCGCGTACAGCACGCGTACATCACGGAGACGTCTGCATTACATCTGCAAGACGTGTTTTTTAGAGCGTTTGCTCATCTGTCTATAGAACGTTTCTTATCAGATGTCAAATAGATGTCTTTAAGATTTAGAATGCATGTAAAACTGACATCTTAAAGACGTCTATCAGATGTTTGTACACAGCAGATGCTTTCCAGATCTTTAACAGACGTCTTGCAGACGTACCTGTGCTATCTGGGATGTAGTCAGGGTTACATGAACTACAGCAGCCACCAGAGTAAACATCGCACACAGATCGGCACAACACACACAACCTAATGAATGTCTCTGGAGGAACATCTTCAGCATTCGGTCTCTGAAGGTTTTAATTGAATTTCTGCTTCAGCTCGAGCTCTCTGGAGGATTCAGATTCAGATCCAGAACCAAACGATTTCCTTTACAGGGTTTCTGCGGGACTAAAGGAGGTCTTAATTCACGGTGATTAAAGGTCTTAAATCAGAATTCATAAAGTCATGACATTGAATGTTGCCCCTAACAGCACGCGTACATCTCGGAGACATCTATTTTACATCTGCAAGACGTATTTTTTTTTAGAGTGTTTGCTCATCTGCAATACGTCTATAGGACGTTTCCTATCAGATGTCAAACAGACGTTTAGAAGATGTCTTTATGATTTAGAAACTGACATCTCACAGATGTCTGTCAGATGTTTGTACACAGCAGATGCTTTCCAGATCTTTAACAGACGTACCTGTGCTATCTGGGGCATGCACTGCAAAAATGTATGTTTTGTTTTCTAGTACAAATATCTAAATAATCAAGATTGTTTTACTTAAGATGCAAATTGGAGATATAATGTCCTGTTTTCGAAAATTAAATAAGTAGCTTATGCTTTAAACAAGAGCATATATCTGTCACCCAGATAGCACAGGTACGTCTGCAAGATAAAGATCGCTTCATCTGGAAAGCATCTGATGTGTACAAACATCTGACAGACGTCTTTAAGAGGTCAGTTTCACATGCATTCTAAATCATAAAGACATCTTCTAAACGTCTGTTTGACATCTGATAGGAAACGTCCTTTAGATGTATTGCAGATGAGCAAACGCTCTAAAAAACACGTCTTGCAGATGTAATGCAGACGTCAAATAGATGATCAGGGCAATGAGGTATGAAAACATTTCCCTTTGAATTATGATTTTTTTTTGAGCCCATTGACAGAGCATGAACTCATTAATTTCTCATAAAACAAGACTTCTTAAGTCATTTTGCTCTCAGGTGAGTGCATCTTGATTTAAGAATTTGCACTGGAAAAGAAGACTTTTTTTACCGAATTAAAAAGTAAAGATCTGTTGGATGTTCTTCAAACTTTGAAGCATTGCTAATACAAGACATTTACACATCATCAGTGCTGTATGGAATGAGAGCAGATGACTGATGCACCTTCAAACCTTCTTTGTGTGTGTAAAATTGAAAAACTTGAAAATAAGGGCTTAATTCAATGGGAACAACAGCTGTGGAAACACATTTTGATGTGTTTTGCAGCGAAAACAATCTGTGGACAAACAAAAAAGCCCAGCGCTAGACAACAGTACAGCAGATACTTGCCTAAATTGATATAAATATCAGTCGTCACCCTATATCTCCAATAATATGTCACAGATTGAAATGATCCAAACATATAATCCAGTGCTGATTGAGAGATGAACAAATATAAACGGCTCCTCAAAAGATGTGAGATGTTTCGGAGGCTTGGGAAGATCAACAGTGAAAGTAAAGCTTCTGGAAACAGATCAGATTTGAGACGCACTGATTTAAAAAAAAAAAAAAGATTGATGGAGAATCAAGTAAATCCGAGCTGCTTCACTCCAGTAAGTGTTCATCTGGAAATATTATTAGTAAAGCTATTCTCACGTTTACTTGATAAAAATCAGCTTTGACTGCAAAAAGACTCGTGAAGCTCGAGCTGAAGGAGGACGTTTGAACAATTATACTAAAAAACTATCAATCAGACGACAGAAGCATGGAGTAGATTGTGTGCGACAGGTTTTACAGCCAAAGTTTGATTATTTAGAGGCCTTCACATTATGAAACACTTCAATCTAATATTAAAAATCAACGATTTTACATATGCTTGATTGTTTATATCGTCACAAATGGAACTATATTATCGTCCAGCTTAGCAACAATATAGCATGACGATATTAAAATATTATAAACATCATGATTGTCCGTAGAGCTGCTTTGAAACACAGTGATTTAATTGTACCTGTCGTGTCTTTCAGCTTTGATCTGACACAGAGAGGGCTAATGGTGTACTTCCTGTCCGCGGAGGGCGTAAAGCCCTCGTTCCACTCCGCTGTCCTCTTTAACCCCGCCATCAACGGTTCCTCCACGCCGACACCCGTCATCTGCCGTCTGGACGCCTCCTCTTCTGCCGCTTCGCTGCAAAGCAACGTCTCGCTGACGTCATACGACCTGTCGCCAGCGGAGGTCACGCTCCTCGGCCTCGTGTTCGGGGTGTTCTGGGTCATATCGGTGCTGGGAAACTCGCTGGTGTGTCTGGTGATCCATCGGAGCCGCAGAACCCAGTCGACCACCAACTACTTTGTGGTGTCGATGGCGTGCGCGGATCTGCTGTTGAGCCTAGCCTGCGCGCCGCTAGTTCTCCTGCAGGTTTCCGCGGGTCACTGGCCTCTGACCGCGGCCGCGTGCAAAGCCGTGCGCTACCTGCAGCATCTGTGCCCCGGAGTCCAGGTCTACGTGCTTCTGTCCATCTGCGTGGACCGTTTCTACACCATTGTGTATCCGTTGAGCTTTAAAGTGTCGCGCGAGAAAGCCAAACGAATGATTCTGGCGTCTTGGCTCTTCGACGCCGCATTCGTATCGCCGTGTTTGTTCTTCTACGGATCGTCGGCGTCACAAAACCACTGCGACTTCTTCCTAGCGGACAGCTGGGACGGGTTGGCGTACGCCGTCGCGCATCTTCTCCTTGGTTTCTTGGTGCCGGCGCTGCTCATCGTGACCTTCTACCAGCGGGTGGTGCGCTACATCTGGAGGATCGGCACTGACGGGCGAACAGTGCGCAGGACCATGAACATCGTCCCCAGGACGAAAGTCAAAACCATTAAGATGTTCCTGATGCTCAACGCCGTGTTTCTCCTCACCTGGACGCCGTTTTACATAGCGCAGCTTTGGCACCCGAGGGAAACGGCGGGCCCAAGCAGACGGTCAGCGCTGTTTTTCGTCACCGTGGCCTGGATCTCCTTCAGCTCCACGGCGTCCAAACCCACGCTGTACTCCGTGTACAACGCCAACTTCAGACGCGGCATGCGAGAGACGTTCTGCATGTCGTCCATGAAGTGTTACCGCAGTAACGCGTACACCATCACCGCCAGCTCGCGGATCTCCAAAAAGAACTACGTGGGTGTGGTCGATCTGCCCGTGCCGGCAAAGACGCTCATCAAAGACTCGGTTTATGACACTTTTGACCGGGAAGCAAAGGAGAAGAAGTTAGCATGGCCTATTAGCACTAACCCACCCAACACATTCGTATAAAGGCTCAGAAATTAACGTTAAAGAGATAGCATGCCCAAAAATGAAAATACTGTCATCATTTACTCACGCTTCAAGTTGTACCAAACCTGTATGAGATTCTTTCTTAGGGGCCATTCACACAGAACACGTTTTTCCATTCCAATGCGCTACTTTTTTTGTAGTGTTTTTCTGTGTAAACGTACTAGACGGATGTGTATGACCGATGCGCTCGTGTCTTGCGTCTTTTGCAGCGTCGCGCCGCGTTTTTACGATGTCGTGTCAAGTTAAAAGAATTTCCACTTTTACACGCAGCGTCGCTCATCAATGTCAGTTCCAAAACAGTGGACCAATCAGAAGACCCAGGAGACGGGGCAAGCGTTGCCAGCTTTTGTTTACAGTAGCAAGTTTGCAACTGTTTTTATTTGATGGCAACATGGCGGGTTTTTTTTTTTTTTTAAACCATTCCTGAGTGTTGCGTCACGCGTTTTTAGATGCATCCTGTGTGAACGGCCCCTTATAGAAGATATTTTGAAGAATGTTGGTAGCCAAACAGTTGATGGTCCCCACTGACTTACATAGTATTTTTTGAAGTCGATGGGTACCAGCTGTTTGGTTACCAGCATTCTTCAAAATATCTTCTTTTGTGTTCAGCAGAAGAAACTCATACACATTTGGAACAACTTGAGGGTGAGTAAATGATGACAAAATGTTCATTTTTGCGTGAGCTATCCCTTTAACTCATAATGATACGCGGATGAGATAATTTTTGAGTGAACTGTTGCTTTAACTGCCGTTGCACCACGATCACACACAACAGAATCAAAACCACTAAACTAAATCTGTTGAAATGCAAAAAACGTGGTGCTAACTAGTTCAGATACACACTGATGACATGGAGGACAACTACAAAACACCCTTATAGTCACTGCTGTGATCCAGTGGAAGGAAAGCGCTTGAACGTCATGTGTTCTTCTGTTCATGTTTCTGGTCAGTCTGTGATCCTACGGTGGCCTGGAGGCGCTAAACAGGGTTTATGTTAATCTTCAGAAGATGCGTTTGTGTTGTTTTGTGCCTGTAGTTACAGATAAACGTTGTCTCATAGATTTGTGTGTTGTTTCATGATGCAAGACAGACGTGTGTCCCTGTGATTTTACAATTAAACATTCTGTACGATTCAAATGTAAGCCACTGTCTGAAATGTATCAATGTATCATAAATGTAGCATTGCATCAGTGTCTCAGCAATGGATGCTCTGCAGTGAATGGGTGCCGTCAGAATGAGAGCTGATAAAAACATCACAATAATCCACAAGTAATCCACAGCACTCCAGTCCATCAGTTAACATCTGCAGAAGACAAAAGCTGAAACACATCCATCATCAAGACGTTTTAACTAAAATACATTGAGTCCATAATCCATAATAACGCTTCCTCCAAGCGTTATTATGGATTATGGACTCGTAGTTTTAAGTTAAAAACGTCTTAATGCTGGATGTGTTTCAGCTTTTTTCTTCTCCAGATGTTAACTTATGGACTGGAGTGCTGTGGATTACTTGTGGATTATTGTGATGTTTTTATCAGCTGTTTGGACTCTCATTCTGACGGCACCCATTCACTGCAGAGCATCAATTGCTGAGACACTGATGCAATGCTACATTTCTACAAACCTGATGAAGAAACAAACTCACCTTCATCTCGGATGAGCTGAGAGTGAGCACATTGTCATTTTCGTGTGAACTATTGCTTTAAAGCTGCACATGCAAACTAATCAAAATATTGTATTCCCACAAACTGTAATAATGAACCAATTAGAAGATTTCAGTCAGTCTTTTCGGTATGATCTTCATATTACTGAGCCGAACTGACTGAACCTGATGAAGACTCATCGTCCGCTGCTCAGTGTGACATTTCCAGCACAATTTCTGCATGTTCAGTGTTGGATGACAACGCTCTATTGTTATTCGGGATGAAAGCGAAGGGCTTTAATGAAACACGCACATCATAATGAGATTTCATATTGAGAGCGAGGACAATGAAAGCACTTGTGCAGCTCTGGATTCTGAATCGATATCAGTCTGCGCTAGAAATATGTCAGTTAGTTTATTCATCTAACAACACAAACAGAAAATTTTTTGGTAGGAAACCCCCAAGTTTGTAATATATCACAGGTTTGATCTGAGCACTAGCACTAGCAATAAATGAGCTCTAAACATAAACTGAAATGAGGCAAGACAAGAAGATTCAGATAGGTACATGTTTTAATAAGACGGTTATCGTTAATAAGCATCATCCTGCTACAAATTACAATCTACATATTATACACGCCATATAAAAATATATTTGAGCTCTAAACATAGATTATGCCAGCCAGCATAGAGTCACAAGGAAACGTGCTGAAGGCCAATGAAAGTGTTTCACGTTCATTAAAACTTGAACTTTTCACAAAACACTTCTACATCTGTGTTTGGGCCGATCAACCCTGATGAAATAGTTTGACATTCATTACATGTATTCAGATCGTAACTCATCTGTGCTGAAATATTCGTTTTCTGTTTGTTTGTTTTTGGCAAACCTGCCAAATAAAGCAGAAAGATGAAACTCAAATAAAGTACAAAAATTAGAGCTTTGAAGGAAAGTGCTTTAAGTTTCATTTAGTGAAATAAAAACATGATCAACAACAAACACGGAACAAACTCTATTTGTACAAGAGAAGTATCTTTCAAATGTCGTAAAGTGCAAAGAGCCGAGCGAGAGATTTTGGCAACAGCTCGTCTTATAACGTCTGTGTCTAAAGGTTTAATGGATTAAACTCATTCTAACACACATCAGAGTGATGAATCATCACATGCTAGCAAACTCTCCTGTCTGTTTGCTATGGAAGCTGGTTTCTACCATGGGATAAAGGAATTGAAAAAAAGGTAATTGTGAGTTTTTATCTCAGTTCTGAGAAAAATTGGGAATTTCCAGATATAAACGTAGAATTCTCCAGAGTTTACATATTGCAGTTGGTTTTTGTTTCCACCCAAAAAAAAAAAAAAAAAAAAAGAAATTGCAACTTTTTTTAATAATTCTGACTTTTTTCCTCACAATTGCAAGTGAACTATTTTGAATTAACATCTCTTAATTCTTTGTTTATATCTCACATTTCTGATTTTTTTTCCCTCAAAATTCCGAAAAAAGCCTGAATTGTTACATGTAAACTCTTTCAAATAATGAAATAAAAAGGTGCAATTAGCTTTTTTTTTTTAAAAAAGTAATTGCAACTTTTTTTTTAATAATTCTGACTTTTTTCCTCACAATTGCAAGTGAACTATTTTGAATTAACATCTCTTAATTCTTTGTTTATATCTCACATTTCTGATTTTTTTCCCTCAAAATTCTGAAAAAAGCCTGAATTGTTACATGTAAACTCTTTCAAATAATGAAATAAAAAGGTGCAATTAGCTTTTTTTTTTTTTTTTTTTCATCCATTTACTTTTTTTTTTTTGCCAGGCTTCCACAGATTGAACTCATGAACGCTGGAATCCTTCATCACAAATGATTTGGTACCAGAACGGTTCCAAAATAAATACATAAAGGAAGAGGAAATGTTTTCGAATCACACAGAACGTTCACACAACAACACAAAAAACTGAACGTGAACCACGTCCGCATACAGACGCAAATCGACAGGAATAACTCTCTAATGTCTGAATTGTCGTATTAATGTGAATGCAAACAGAAAAGCTTATTTGTGACCCTGGAGCACAAAACCAGTCATAAGGGTCAATTTTTCGAAATTGTAAACCACTTAATAAATAATCTTTCCATTGATGTATGGTTGGTTAGGATAGGACAATATTTGGCTGAGATACAACTATTTGAAAATCTGGAATCTGAGGGTGCAAAAAAATCTAAATATTGAGAAAATCATCTTTAAAGTTGTCCAAATGAAGTTCTTAGCAATGCATATTACTAATCAAAAATTACGTTTTGATATATTTACAGTAGGAGATTTACAAAATATCATCATTGAACATGATCTTTACTTAATATCCTAATGATTTTTGGCATAAAAGAAAAATCAATAATTTTGACCCATACAATGTATTTTTAGCTATTGCTACAAATATACCCCAGCGACTTGAAGGGGTCCTATTATGATTTTTTCACTTTTTCAACTTTAGTTAGTCTGTAATGTTGCCGTTTAATCATTAATTAATATTTAAGAAATTTGAAATCATTTGAAAATGGATGAAAAAATAAATTTGCAAAATAAACCTACTTATACTTTAGATGACAAAGTATTTTCCACAAATAAATAAATATTTAATACAAATATAATTAAAAAGGAAGTAAACTGTAACCAACAGAGCACTCAGTATTCTGGGAAGTTTGTGTGCATTGGGAATCATATTTTTTCGAATAAAGCCAAGGTAACATTCATTTTACATACAGCACACAGTGAAAATTACATGAATATGATGACAGTGGGCAAATGCATAAAACGCAGCATAATTTGAAATCACGAATTTAATGCTTAACGCATTCAATTTGCATGGACCGAAAGTCACGCAGAGAACACGCGATCATGCAGGTCACATGCACACTTCACAAGATCTCACAACTGGATTCGACTAAGTTTGCAAGGTTTGTGAAATTAAATTTTCATTAGCCATCCAAAGATTTGTTTAAATTATGTAAATGTGTATTTGCTGAATGCTGACGGCAAACGAGAAAGTATTATAATGTTTGCCTTTCTATTACTAATAATATAAAAGCAATCATCATAATACTTTTTGTATACATTTTAATTCCTTTGTTGAACAGTTATATCGGATTATTAGACAGACTTCTATCCGTATTAGACAGAACTGAACGATGACGGCGAACAGGGAGAATGTGAGCACTGTGTCAAAATGAAAGTCCCACCTCGAACGCATCGGCTAAACAGAAAAACTTATCGGCCGATGCCGATATTTGAAAAATGCCAAATATCGGCCTTGCCGATATATCGGTCGACCACTAGAAGAAACCTCACGCAAAGTGCATTGAAGGAGTGATTGCAATACTGTAGATTCCAAATTAGATTGTTTTTGTTGATAATGGCACAATATAATTAATTCAGTGTCATGTGACACTTCAGAAATCATTCAAATATGCTGATTTGGTGCTCAATAAACAATTCTTATTATTATCAATTGAAAGCAGTTGCATAATAGTTGTTGAGGAAATCATGATACATCTTTTCAGGATTCTTTAATGAATAGATAGTTCAAAATCATTCATTTGAAATAGAAAGCTTTCATTAAAATATAAATGTCTTGTACTGTTTCTTTTGATCAGAACAAGACAATATTTTAATACTATTTTTAAGAAATTTTCAATGACAAAATATGTCTTTTAATTACAAAAAGTAAAACAATGCAGTTGTATTTAGAAATACTTTAACTAATCTAGGGCTGTAACTAATGATTATTTTGGTAATCAAGTAATCTACTGATTATTTTGACAACTGAGTAATCTGATTTTTTTTAGTAACAAACAGACCTAAGTGAAAACCAGACTTTAGTATGACTATTTATATATAAACTAAAGATGAGGCAATAATAATTGGCTGCATGCACAAACTTTTATTTTGAAATCGCGACGTACAATACATGGCATATTTAGACACTGGTTGATGTATTCTCCAGTGTTGGCAAAGGTTTATAAATGGTTTACGTTACAAATCTAGTGAGATAATGCACACTGTTTTTCCAGATGAACGTTAAGCCATTCAAATTCACAGCATATACAGAGGAAGAGTTTAGCACCTTTCACACATACAGTCTTTACTGGTAAATTACCGGTAAGTTACCATTAATAGATCATGT